ATTTCTTAATTTTAATTATCTATCCTATTATAAAAGAGTTTTTGTATTTTTATTTTTTAAGGGTAAAATAAATAAAAGAAGAAATTGTCTTCCAATCTTTTATTTCAAAATAAAAATAAAAAATATCTATTATTTTAGAATAGAACAAGTATTAATAAAAGTAAAATACTAACTATGTATTGGTTCGAATAGAAGGAATTTAATTCACTTTAAATAATATTTTGAATTTAAATCTTATAAATTAAGAAACAAGTACTAAGAAAGTTTTCTTTTGTCTGACATAATTTAATTTCGAATTAGTCGGATCTAATATGATCATCTAATCATGGGAGGTTATTATCAAAAAAATAAAAGTAAAATTAAAAAATCTTTAATGATATTTTAAAAATAAAAATAAAAATATTTTTTTCTTAAAGACTTATTTCATATAACAATTTAAACTTAACTATTAATTATTTTACTTAATTTAATATATAAAAATAATTAATTTTTTAATTATTTTTATATATTAAATTAAATAATACTTTTAACGCTAATTTTAAAAATCAATATTGTAAACGCTCCTAAATCACGTGATAATAATTAGAAACGGATCTTACTACTTTTAGGAGGTTCCCGTATCTTGTGGAATTGTATAAATGGCTCCCACGCGTATGGGAAACACGCGTGCAAAATACTTAGTGATGGGTATCCACTGGTTAGCGGCGGTTTCTTACACGCGTCTCTATGAGAGTGGAGAAAGAATTGTATCCGAGTTTGAAACTGTAATCTCTTACAAGTTCCAGCCGCCCAGGGACTAGTCCCGTTCTGTTTTCCAAAAAAAAGAAAAAGAGTAGTCCCGTTCGCCTACGTCAGTGTTCCACGTAATCAGTATGACGTGTCAGATCTAGTGAATAAAAGGCTGACACGTGTAAGAAACCCCATGTGGGTGAATACGTAATAGAGGGCGAGCTTCCCGCCATTCTTCGCGGGCCTAACTACTACGAGCCTACATACAGAAAGCGTCGCGTGGCTGTGACGATTCTTAATCCAGCTATTGAGTTACTGGGAATTCTGTTTTTCTTCTTCGAAATAAAGGTTTATAATTATATAAATTGTGAATAAATTTTTTCTTATCAAATAAAAATATCTAGTAAGATTAAGAATTGCTTAAAAAGTACCGATGTTTTGATGATTTGAGTAAAAAAATTTTGATATCATTTAAATAAAATTTTAAATTTAACTCTTGTATCAATTAAGATTTCATAAGATTATTGAATAAAAAAAATTAATATAAAAAAACTTAAAATTTAAAAAGAAAAATCAATTTATAAATTTTATAATAACAATGCATCACTTAAAATTAGTTACAAAATATTAACAATAATATTATATATTACCATAAAATAAAGTTACATTTCTCTTTTTTACTTTTAATTTTTTTTTAATAAATAAAAAGATTTTTCTTTCTCAGCCCTCTATCTCTATTTCCTCCGCCCATGCTGTAAATCTTAAAAAACTAATAAATTTAGAAAGAAAGAAAAGGAAAAGAAGCAGTTTCTACGTGCAGCGGACATGCTCACGTGGCAGTCATGTCAGTGGACCCCTGACACCATGGTCTTTGGTTAGAGGGGATACGGTTGATGGCTCACTGTAAATTCTAAGAATAATAATCTCTTTTTTCTACTTTCAAACAAATAAAATAAAATAAAATAAAATAAAATAAAAGAAGAAAAAATCTCCAGGGCAATAATGTCCGACTATTCGTGTCATATTCCGGCGACCTTTATTATGCCTTTATATATACCCCACTCTCCTTCCTCCTTTACGCTTCACCGCTCCTCATCTCTCTGCGAGCTCTCCCTTCCGCCATAGCTTGGCAACTCAAAAACCATTACTTTAATTCACTTAATTCATTCTGGGGAGGTGAAAACTGAAATGAACGGAGCATTGCCGGACATGTTGCAGTGTAACGAGTTGACGGTGCTCGACCGGCAAACAGCTCGGATGAAATGGCTGCAAGAACAATTTCCAGAGCAGAGGTATTTCAGCGAGTTGAGTGGAGTTTTCTCGAGTCAATCCAGTCAGGGGTTTCCAAGTGGGTTTGTGGGTGGCGACTCTGTTCTTGGCGAGGCGATGATGACTCGGCAAGTGAAGTCCGACCCAGGTTTGGAAAACGGGTGGCCTGACTTGAGGACGATCGAGATGCTTGACCCTGGTGTTGCGTTTTGTCTTCCATGTGGGTATGGTAATGGGTCGAATTTTGAGGTGAAGTACACCATGTCGAGGACTTCTGGCTGCCCGCAGTCAGTGGCAGCTGTTGCAGCCCCCACCTCGGTGGAGGTGAAGGAAAGGGAGTCAATTGCTGCTGACAAGACAAGTGTGGCTGCCGGGAAAGAAAGCTTCAAGAAGAGGAAAGTTGAGAAGTTGCAAAACACAAAGGTGTGCATTATGTGAATCTTTTCTTCCCTACTCTGTACAAAATGGAATCGAATTTAATGCTTGTATGTCTCTCTGTTTTGGGTAATAACACTGCTCTGCTTTGTCTTTTCCTCTTCACAAAGCTAGAATACTTAGTAGCTGTACCAAAATTTGGCAAATTTAGATAGTCATGGGGTTATTATATTTTGCTCTGTTTTGGGTATGTCTAGGTTGTTGCAGAGGAGGGAGACTCTAAGATTACAGAGCAACACACTAACAAAAGCAGCAGCAATAATAACAACAAGAAGAAAGAGACTTCAGCTGACACTTCAAAGGAGAATTCAAAGGTTTCTGATGTTCAAAAGGCTGACTACATTCATGTCAGGGCTCGTCGCGGTCAAGCCACTGATAGTCATAGCTTAGCTGAGAGAGTGAGTAGGAAATTTTTGAGTTTTCAGGAAGATGTCATCTATGGAATTGTGTGTAATCTGTGTTTGTGTGTGTTGTGTAGCTGAGAAGGGAAAAAATCAGTGAAAGAATGAGGTATCTGCAAGATTTAGT